AGACCAAAAAGCAGATGCCGCTCGACTTCATTCACAACATCATCACAGTCATCGATTCAGGACGCATTGTACAGAGCAACGGCCTACGCGACGAGCTCGCAGAGACACAGAGATATTACAGGTGCCATTACATTTCACATCGCTAAAGATATGTGTCCAGTTAGCACTGTTAGCAACCAGGGCTTTAAGCAACTTGTCAACACGTTGGACAAGCGTTACGCGATGTCGTCTCGGTATTATTTCATTCGGTATTATGTGACAAATGCCGTGGGGAAGTTGAGAGAGATGTGGCTTCAGCTGACTACTTTGCCACCACAACGGACCTATGGTCTAGCCCAGGGGTGCCCAACCAGTCGATCGCGAGATGTGTCTAAAAATAGAACAACAATATTCTGTTTTATCGTGAATGTCCTGTAACATACTCTTCCTGTGCCAGAATAATGCACTTGAATGCATCAAAGCTTTGTGATTGGCCGGCGTCACCCCTGTGTCGGGGCGTGGCTGAGGGTCTTCAGTACAGGTGGCAATATTGTCACCTGCCTGCGCTCATCTCTGAAACCAGACCATGTAAACAGGCTGGTGTTTCTTGCAAAAAATCTTTAAGAGATGACATGAGCAGCCCTACCAGCATTTGCCATGGTGGCCTAAACATTTTTATTTGGTCTTAAATTGTAGTTCAACATTTATTTCCTGTTACTTCTGGACCATGACGGTTGGCCAGCCTTCAACGTTTAACTTAGTGGAATATGTTGAATATGTTTTACCAAAATGTTGGCTATATGTTAAGGAGTTTTCAGTAGGTTGTGACAGTGCACTGCAACATGTTTGATTTCATTTATTTTGGTCTAATTTATTTGTATTTATCATATTAATAATATATGTTTAGTATGGTTTTGGAAGTGTGCTCCAACATATTTGTTGATCTTGTTTATTGGTAAAATATTATTTGTTTTAAAGTTCAATAAATGGTCAATGAATAATCGTCAAAATAATCGTGATATCAATTATTGACCCAAATAATCGTGATTATGATTTTTGCCATAATCGCACAGCCCTAGCCTGTTTGCTCTGACACCTTCATAACAAAATACGCATAATGTTTTTTGGAGAACTTGGAGAAAAGGTGCCTCTTTCATTTCCTTTTTCTTTAGATTTATATATAGGGTTGCAAAGGGGCGGAACATTTCCGGTACATTTCCGGGAACGTTTCCGGTAAATTTCCATGGGAAGTTAAGCTGGGGAATTTTGGAAATATTCCATATTGGAATTATGGGAACTAACTGGGAATTGAGGGTAATGTAATCAAATTGTATCATATCCAAGCATAAATATAAACATTTTGTTTTGTCATAAGAAAACATCCATGCAAAGTTATACAATAAAAAAACATGACATTTCAACAGATGTATTTGTAAGTAGAACAGAACAAGTTTTAATTATTTTATTGAACAATCATTTGTTTCATTGAAGAACAAAAAAATGAATGTTGAGTTAAATATTACTTCTAGAAATCATTTGTGCATGTGATGGAGGAGTGCACAGTGCCTTTAGGGGGTGTGGTCTCAATAGCCATGCAGTAAACAGTGTGCTATGTGCATGTGATTGAGGAATGGCATGGATATTCAAGTGTACTTGAATGGCATCTGTTTGTTTTAGTCAAGATTATGCTAAAATATACTTTCCCCAACTATATTTAAGTTCCCTATGAAGAGCCAACCTTCAATTTAGAACATTCCCAGTTTATTCATATACATTCCCATGGAAAGTTTCCATCTTTGAAAATTCCCGGAATTTTGCAACAATATTTATATATTCTTTATTTATTTTAGGACTGTTTCTATTCTCCTGCAAGACTTCATTGATCTGGTCGATGTGCAAAACCTTCACCAAACCCTTAAGATAGTTTCCCAACTTGCCTGTCTCTATTAAAAGTAGTTATTAGCATTTTGCTAACGTGCAGTTGATCAACGTCTTCTAAAATAAATCACCATACTTTTGAACCATTACTTCCAGAAAACCAATATGCCCACATCTAAGCTGCCTTTTATCTAAAAACAAATTAGAAAAACATGTTGTCAAACTGATCACTGCTGTCTTCACTGAAAACGACGTTTCGAATGTTTCCAATCTGGTTCCTGTCAGAAGCATTCCACTGAAACAGCTCTTCTCAAAGTCTAGAATGACATAATGATGTTTTCTGATGTGGGTGAATGCTGTTTTGCTGCAGCTGTGTATTAAACTCGCCTTCAAAATAAAAGCATCTAAATAAAACAGGAAGTTAACCTAAATTACATTTAAGACATACAACTGCAACGAAAGTAACAAAAACAATGTAATATCCTTTTCAGTTTCACAGAACACGAATTGGGTTATTTACATCATATGTTTACATGATTTTGTTGTGCAATAAATGCAATCTCGATGTCATCGCACTATAATACGATGGCTACATGACGGCATTGCGAGGGCTTCACGTAGTCGTGTTGCCTTCCTAAGACAATCGGGCTGCTTCTTGTTTCCTTCGTATTGTCTTCTTGAGGCGAAAAATGCCCGATGGCACCGATGATCACACGAAGTAAAGACAAAGATGACACGATTTGACAAGAGGCCCTCACGAGTGCCTTACAAAGGGCAACATGGACACACAAATTCAACACGATAATGAACCTTCGCAGGTCCCCCAAGGCTCAATTCTGGGCCCCATCCTCTTTTTACTGTACATACTGCCCCTAGGTTCAATCCTCACGAAACACAATATCCCCTTCCACTGCTACGCGGACGATGTACAGATCTATCTGCCTCTCAAAGCAAATGTCAACTCACTACAGCAGTTGATGGACTGCTTAACAGAGTTAAAATCCTGGCTGAGCAAAAACTTCCTCAACCTCAATGAGAGCAAGACCGAGGTCATCTTTTTTGGACCCCAACCTCTAGCCTCTCCGGTTGATATTCTGGGCTCCCTAAGTAAAAACATCCTCCCCTCTGTCTTGAACCTTGGAGTGACCTTTAATAGCACTTTTAAATTTGACAAGCAGGTCAGCACCGTAGTAAAATCCTGCTTTTTTAAAATAAGACTATTGGCCAAAACCAAGTCGTATTTATCTTTTAAAGACCTGGAAAGGGTTATTAACACCTTTGTGACCTCAAGACTGGACTATTGTAACGCTCTGTATGTGGGTATGGACCAGGCATCAATTAAACGCCTGCAGCTAGTCCAAAACGCAGCTGCACGTCTCCTGACTGGCCACAAAAAGCGTGACCACATCACCCCAATTCTGGCCTCCAGTCCGGTTCAGAATTGATTTAAAAATCCTTTTATTTGTATTTAAAGCACTAAATGGGTTGGCTCCGGCCTATATAGCTGAACTCCTCCAGCGCTACACCCCAGGCAGAGCCTTAAGATCTGCTGACCAGCTGCTGCTGGTAGTGCCTAAGACCAGGCTCAAAACCCGAGGGCACCGAGCCTTCGCAGCAGCTGGCCCCAGGCTCTGGAACACTCTGCCCCTCCATGTGAGGTCGGCCCAGACCCTAGGGGCTTTTAAATCCACACTGAAGACACACTACTTCTCTCTGGCCTTCTAGTTAGAGTGGGGTTACGACTCCTGACTGTTCCATGTGTTGTTTTTATCTGTTGTGATTTATTGTGATGTAATGTGTTTGTATGTGTTTAAATTACATGTACAGCACTTTGGCTCGACCAAAATCGTTTTTAAATGTGCTCTACAAATAAAACTTGATTTGATTTTGATTTGATTCGCAAGGTCCTTTGGCAATTTTTTGGCATGCCACACACTGGCTGTTTTGCACAATTTCCATAGGCTTTGTCTGTTTTGAAGTCTGATTGCAGTTGATTAAGAATGATCTAAGATGCTGAGGCTTTCTTTCAATGAGGCTGCCGGTGTGTTTGTGGAGTGGTTTCATTAGAAAGCTTTGATGTGCTTTTTTTCCAAGATGCTTTTAAGGTAGATATTTTATTAAAAACATCAAAGGTAAAGCTCTCTCTTTCTCTCTCACACTATCCCCATTTCACACCAAGACTCTTTGCTTTTTGTTTTTTCCTGGTATTCTCAAGTATTTGTCCTCCAATGTTTATACTCTTTCTGCTTTTCACACTGCAAAACTCCTGCTGTGTGTGTGACACGAGAAAGCAGCAGAAGACGGGGGAAACATTTTGGCAAATTCTGCACTTCATGTCATCTCTCCCTCCCTGTTTAACCTCTTCTCGACTATTTGCGTCCCCCACGGTCTTTACACCTCACAAATGTGATTTCCTCTCATCTCAACAGAAATGTGTTTTGTCTTTAGCGAACAATCCCTGATGTTTGTTCCCCCGCAGTGAAGGTCTCGCCTTTCACTCCATTGCTTTGATTACTTGACTTTATTTTCTCTTCTCTTAAAATGTTATACGGGGACACATTACTTTATGTTTTTTCTCTGCTGTACTTTTCAAAAAGTATTTTAAGTAACAACAGTTTGAAAGATGCTTTTTTCAAAACTGACAATTGCGTACATCCTTAGAGCGAGATTTTAAACCAAGGCTAAGTTGCCAGGGATATGTTCAACTCTATTTCACTGAAACTGTGAGCATATTACTCTAACAACTATACATACAGGATGACCTCTAAATTGTTGGCCCAAATTGTTTAACGATTAAAATATGTCTGGTGTTGGACCCAATGATGCCTAACAGTCACAATCAGAGTTTAGTGGACTGAATTGACGAACGGAGCATCATCTTCCTACAAAACGTGCACGACATTTAGCTCCATCTATGAAAAATGGCAAAAGAAAACAGGAATATTTAAGCAGTAGTAAAAGTTGTCTTTAATCCACTTAGCATCGGTTATTCACTAATATTCCACAGGTGACATACAGTAGGACTACTTTTATGGGACATGGTTCATTGTTAACCAAACTTATTTTCCCCTTACATGGATCTTGTAGGTTCATAAAATCTCATCTCTAATTTCACCTCTCTGTTTTTCTGTGTCCTCTCACAGGTACTTCAACAACATATCCATCGGTGGGCGGGATTATTCCTTCAACAGTGACGGCTACCTGTCCAATCCGCTGCTCGATGTCATCTCCTACACCAATGGAAGGGGCTGGGAAGAGGTTCGTACACAGCTGTGCAAGTTAGCACTAATTATCATAAAGCAACGGCTAGACTGGCTAACTGCAATTTCACAGTCCATCAAACATGCTATTCATCACTGCTCAGTTTCACCTTTCAGCTGTCTCACTGTCTCCCCCTTTCTTTCCTCTCCCATATTTCATTAGAGCTCCTCTAACCCCCCTCCCTTCATTCTCTCCCTCTACTCTTTCGTCACAGTTTGTCAGCCTTGTTAGCCAGCGCTAACTCACACTCCAATACCCTCTCCATCAGGGGCCATGTGTAGCAGTTGTACAGTAATAGCACCAGATCTAAGGTCTTTCCTCGGAGGGCACTTTCAATTCCTCAAGCCTCCCCTCGACCTGAGAAAGATATGAAACCTTCTTGTTCCGTCCCGATGTGTTCCATTTTCTCCTGACCTTTTACGATTCAATATGTTTTCTGGTGAGTGCAAACTCACCTCCCCCCTCATTTACAGGATGATAACTACAAAGTAAAAAAACAAGAAAATTGACCTTCGAAATCAGTATGAGTCCTTGGATTTCAGTGTGTGTAGTTATTCACCTTCCTGTCATAGTTGTCTGAAACCAAAGCACAGTCTGCTCTGATTGGTTAGTTAGCTGGCTCTGTTGTGATTGGTCAACCACTTAAGCCCCTGTCACACTGTCCTGAAATTGACACCAGACGGACACACGAATATGGAATTGTGAATTTCGCACGAAGATGGCCACGAAGTTGGTCAACAGCCAAGCAACAGCCTACAGAAGGCCACACGATGGCACCCGAACCACACACGATAATATGGTCGTAGACTTTACTGATGATTTAGAATGTATCCAGACTCAACGTAAGAGCTTGTGCCTCTTCGGGGGGTGCTAACATTTAAACATACACTTTATTCTTTACTTTCTCCGTCTTTATATGTAGATTAGAAGATATTACTTATCTCCGTCATGTTGTTTCCATAGCAACAACTTCCTGTCAACAGCGTAAACTCGCCTTCAAAAATAAAAGCATCAGGAAGTTAACCTAAATTACATTTAAGACATACAACTGCAACGAAAGTGACAAACACAATGTAATATCCTTTTCAGTTTCACAGAAAACAAATTGGGTTATCTACATAATATGTTTACATGATTTTGTTGTGCAATAAATGCAATCTCGATGTCATCGTAATATAATACGATGGCTACACAACAGCATTGCGAGGGCTTTACGTAGTCGTGTTGCCTTCCTAAGACAATCGGGCTGCTTCTTGTTTCCTTCGTATTGTCTTCTTGAGGCGAAAACTGCCCGATGGCACCAATGATCACACGAAGTAAAGACGAAGATGACACGATTTGACAAGATGCCCTTACGAAGGGCAAAATGGACACACAAATTCAACACGAAAATGAACCTTCGCAAGGTCCTTCGGCAATTTTTTTGGCATGCCATAGATTTTGCCACCGCTCACGAAGTTGCTGCCGGAGCCTGAGAAACTCCACCGGCGGTCATACGATGGCTTAAGATGCCCTCACGATTGGCCCGATGTTGTTACGATCAGAGCCGAATTTGAACATTTCCTTTATCGTGTGTCCATCTGGTGTCAATTTTGGGACAGTGTGACAGAGGCTTTAGAGATGTCACGCCCATCACAGATTATGTGTTATAGCGCTAGCCAACAGAAGCGCAAGTGTTACATAGTAATGTCGTCATGTTTACGGAAGTAAAAAAAGGAGTACATTCAGGGCGTTATAGGCATGGGAGAGTGTGTGGGAGAGACACTCCCTCTGCCGTGAACCTTTTAACCTTTGCAGACAGTTTACATTCACAAAATACTTTATAACACACTACAGGAAATGGAAAACCCCTCAAAAGCATAATAGGGCCCTTTTAAGATTGGTTCTATTAGAGTATGATGAACAAAGGATTCATATAAGAGTGCATTAAATAGGATTTAAGGAATAAGTAAACTTAATTCATTTCAGAAGTTACTTTAAGCAGGAGTGGATGCTATATTAGATATATAGATGTGTGCTTATGGTTATTGAATACAAAGAGCAATATGTTATGGATGCAAGGCTCTATGACACTGGTAAAACAACTTAAAAAGGAACACTCGGTCCTAAAACCTCCAAATGTTGCTTTAAACCCATATTACTTTATTTCATCAGCTGCTGCTTCTTGTGCAATGTTTGCAAACAATCAAAAAGGAACTAGACATTGGAGACTTTTACTCAACACATTTGATGACAAATATGCCTTTACACTTTTTTTCCCCTCTGATTTGAACTGGCATATTAATCCCAGTTTTCAGTTGTCGACATTTATGATAGCACACATTAACTTGTCATTGTTGCATACTGTTTCTCTTTCTGGATGCTGTTTGAAATTCTGAATTACTTTTGGCAATTTGCGTCTCAAAAACCTTGGACTGAATAAGGGGGGTTTGCAGAATCTTATACATTGTGCATGCAATGATCTAAAATTGACCCCGATCTTGTTTTGCAGAAGATAACACGACTCAGAGCAAAATTCAGCTCGGTTGAAATATTAAAGTTACTCACAAAACTAAGTATAAAACCTGAAAAAGGCAGAACTCATGACAAATGAAAGCACTGCCTGTTACCATTTGATTGCTGAACAAGGGGCATTTATTTTTGGAGTGTGTCAACTATTTTATTCATGTTTTTAGATCTTCGGTGTCGGTTTTTTGGTCTTCTATTTCTTTTTCTCTGTTTTTACGTTTTTTACAAATCCAGCCTTTTGAAATTACTTAACCTTACAAAAAAGCAGAATATTGCAATTCAATCAGGAGAGACGTGATGTATGGAATACATATTTATTATCGGTCACATTATATAAATGAAACATAATGATGACAGTTTATAACAAGTGAATGAAATGGTGTTTTGGCGATTAGGCCCAGGTTTTGTAGGATATCAATCGGGAAGGGAAGAACCATTTCCGATGAACCCCCCTGGGTCTAGACACTGGTGGTGGTGATAAGTGGTTAGCTCCGGTTGGAAGGGAGAAGGTTAAGCTTGGCCCTGAGTTGAAAGCAGGAGGCGAAGGGGTGGAGGAGGGTTGCGCGTTGACACCTGGAAGACAGCTGATAGGAAAGGGGAGAGCATATATAGAGGGATTAACAGGTGCGATGATTAGGCTTGTAAATGGAGGGGAGTGATAGGTTAGCTGAGGAGTGGCGCTCCCTGTCATTTAGATGCAGGGAGCGAGTATTGCCATGACGTGCAATACGGAGTGATAGGTCTTCCTGTCTGAACTTGCGCTAAGCTTCATTAGTCAGTGCTTTAATTGGGCCGGTACTCACCGGTACGCAGTACCGGCACTTCAGATTTTTACCCATGTGGTACCGGCACTTCTTACTGAGTAAAATGCCGGTACTCAGCCGCCAGCGGAAGGCGGCATCTCATGACGCATCTCATGAGTCATGACGCGCCGCAGCGATAGACTAGAGCAGAAAAGACATCACATAACGTTAGCATTTCGAAAATGTTAGCGTGGCTTAATAATAGTGCGAAAATACAGCGGTTGTTGCCGGACAAGGATTCCCTCTCTCCTTTCCTGCTGAAAGATGGTGAGTGTACTCAGGGACGAGGAGTCATTTAATCAGCCGCCAGTAGGAGTCAGGCTTTACTTTCTTTTATATCCATAAAGAAAAAGTAAATCTGTTTACAGTTCTGTTTCATATGGATGTTGAGAGGTATCCATATATCTCTTCATTTTGCTCTCAAAGTGCACCAGATTGATGCTTCTAACTTCAATATTTAAAAACAAATCTTCCCGGGGGAGCATGCCCCCGGACCCCCCTAGAGGGTGTCAGGTCCACTCCCCACTTATAAAAATAGTACTTTACCACTGCACCCCCTCTAATCTCAGATGCACCCTGAGTCATTTGTTTAAGTACAGTGAGCCTTTCTAAAATATACAGTAAAGAGACAAACCCACCAGCATTATAGGATATACTATGACTTTGAGCCAAATACTTGTTTTTGGGCTGTATAAATAAATTGACATGAAACAGTTGCTGATTTAGAGTACTGGCACCTTTTTTATTCCAATTCAAGCACTGGCAATAGTCTCTGACACAAGCTACAACTCGCACTTCTTCCTCTGTGGGAATCGTAGTGCCATTTTCTGCCGTTTTCTGTTCCAGTTCAACATTACTGTATTGCATTTTCAATGAACAAAAGCTGAGATACTGACAGAGGAGACAGGTTACTGTCTCATACTTCATGGGTTAGAAAATATAGAAGAAAAAAAACTGGCTACAGTTGGCAGAAAAACCGACAGATAAGAGATTCCTTTGCACTGCTGGTCCCCAAAGACGATTCCTGTGCTGCTCTTTTGTATCTGATGTCCAGTTGAGTCGGGGAGGAAATAATCAGAATTGCCATGTCATGTTCCAAACAGGAATCCCTTCCCCTAAGGATCTTACAATATTTTATTATTTTACAGTCATTTTAAACCTTTTTTGGAAATAACTTGTTGTGTGGTGCATCTCTCGGTTCCATAACAAGCACAAAATACATGTAAAGCTACAATAATATTGTATCATATTATATCAACAATTTACTGTATGAATGTGTAAAGTTGAAAGGGTTTGCTTATTGTACCAAATTATTGGAAAATGATTGCCAAACTCTGCAGTTCCTCTCAGCTCTACAGAGCTTCTTATGGTCTTTGGGCTCTTGGTTTTCCAGGCTCGCAACTTCAAAGTTAGGGTGTTCTCCAACCAACCTGTTATCAGTGTCAGCCATAAAACGGGTCTTGAAATCAGCGAGAAATCAGTGTTTCAAAACAACATTCGACAGCTACCAGAGGTCCAAGGAAGTCCATTAGTATAAGTGTCTCGATAAAAAAATAAATTTATAACAAACACTTATCGGCATCACTAAAAGTTAATAATTGGCAGAAGTTACCAGCATAATTATGTATATTGCAAACTCCCTTCATAAATATATAATTCAAAAATATGGTACACTGTATTTTGAAA